ATAAACAGAAAGACCATACCAAGGCACAGTACAATTAAACTGATGAAATTCCATGATAAAGAGAATTTCTTAGAGCAGTCAGAGAAAAAAGACACAGTGTTACAGAGAGCATTAAGGCTACGCATTACTGCTGACTTCTCATCAGAAACAACACAAGCCACAAACCAATGGAAAGAAGCAAAATTTTAAAAAGACAAAAACAAACTGACTTATACAATTGTGACACAGTTGGCAAAGGCTTGTCATTAATGTATACATAACAGTAATACAGTGGATAAAGAACACACATAATTCACAAATGAAATACAAATAAATGAATAGCAGATAATAAATGTAAAACTTCTTTAGTCACAAAAATGCAAATTGAACTCATTTTTCACTTATGAAATTGACTTTAAAAAATATCTAATATTTGTAAGTAGAAGTGAATATACTCATTCACTCCTGGTGGAAGCATAAATTAACAGAATTTTTCTAGAGTCTTCACACTGTGGTTATATATACACAAAAATGTTGAACAATATGGTTGGCCTTTGACCCAATAATTTCATTTCTAGGAAATTTTTCTAAGAATCCTAATGATGAATGTGTATGAAGATTTAACTAGGATAATCATTGTAGCAAAAATAAAAATTAGAAATAACATAATGCTACACTTATATGATAGAATACTATTCAACAATTATAAACAATATTTCAGTTGAGTATTCATAGACAGGGAAAGGCTAAGTAATAATAGAGTAATACTAATAGATTAATATTGGTACTAATTAACATTAGTATTAATACTATTGATACTAATAATAGTAATAGAATAAGATATAAATATAACAGGAACATATGTATACACAAAGAGATCTAGGTTAGAACATACACCAGTATGCAGTGAAGTATTACCTTGACTTGGAATGTTCTGCTTGACAATATTTTCTTTGTTTACCTGGTGGTCTTAGGCCATACTGGATAGTCTATGTTAACAAAGTGATTTATGGTGGGATCTTTTTGCCACACGGTATCAACTTGACCTCTGGAGGGGCTGAAGACTAAGATCAAGCATGAAGTAGCTAGTCATCCTCACATCACCAATCCCTAATAAAAGTCCTGGATACCAAGGCTTGGGTGAGCTTCCCTGGTTGGCAATACTCCATTTATGTTGCCACATATGCATTGATGGGAGAAGTAACTACTGTCTATGCAGCTCCACTGGAAGAGGATGACTGGAGGCTTGCAGCTGGAACCCTTCTCAACTGTGCCCTAGGTGACTTTTCTAATCGTTGATCTTAACCTGTATTCTTTCGCTGTAATAAACAATAACCACGAGTATAACAGCTTTACAGAGTTCTGAGCCTTTCTAGTGAATTATTGAAACTGAGAGTGGTCTCAGGGACCTCCAAACGTGCAACCAGTAGGTTAATTATGTCTGAGTCTAAGTGTAGGATTCTACAGTTTTGGCTAAACCATAACTTTTCTACAACAAACATAGCGCTGATTTCATAAGAATGCATTCATTGCTTATATCCTTTAAACAGGTGTATCATTTCACATAGAAGTAGATTAAGGAAGTAATCACATGGGTGATCATTGTTCTGTTATCTGTAATAACTAAAGTGGAAAATACGTATACAACCGGGGATACAATAAGTAAATCATGTACGTCTGTAGAGTTGAGTATTATAACTTTTAAAACACTGTACAAGAGCACTAAGATAAAAAATGTCAAAACTATATTGGTAAATGGACAGAGTAAAAAATGTAAGTATATTTCTGTTAAATTATGCATGTATAATCTATATTTCAATAGGGAAAACACACACAAAAGTGTGAATCATGGTTACCTTTGAGTGGTGGAATTAGAAGTGGCATTAACTTTTTGCTTTGCACTTATATGTGTTTTACTCATGTTTTTTGAGCATGTGTCATGTTTATAAATAAGAAAAAAAACTTTTTTAAACTGCTTTTAGCCCCATCCCTAAAATAAATTTTAAAATCTCTTAAAGTAATTTAGTGCTAAATTAATTAGGGATAAATTAGGAATGGATAGTAGCAGGGGACCAAGAATAGAAACTAAAAGGTAGTCAAAGAGGTAGAAGGAAAACCAGAAGAAAACGAGGTCATGGGAATCAAAAGGGGAAAGACAGTTTCCAGGAAGAGCTAATCAACCACAGCAAAATTCAAACCAGATAGGCATTGGCACTTGGCAGTTCTGGAGGTCACTGTTGGCCACCTATGGAAGACTATCTCTAAAAGGGGAACATTTGCTTTCTCCTTCCCGGGCTTTTAGGCAAATTGAAATAAGAAATGTAAAAATACCATACCAAGTTATCTAGCCATCCTCAGATGTATATGATCAGATTTTCCATCCTTGTATGTGTTGTGGGGGACTGGAATTGGCCACCCAAAGATATGTGTCTTTGGCATGAGGATTATTTTGGGCTGGTTATTTTTAAAAACTGCAGACAGGAAAGAAAGTCTGAAAAGTAGAATTTACTGACCCTTTGTTAAGAGACATTTACATTTGTAAAGGAAATCTCCATCTGTAAAGGTGTCTCCCTCTCTACCAGGAAGGAGGAGGGATGACCTTATCTCTAGAAACTCAATCAATGAGGAAGGCAAGGACTTAAATCTGCATAATAACCTTACTCTTGTTTATTGTGCTTCTTTGGTGATCTCCCATAACTGACTCTTCCCAACCCCAACATCCTCCTTTGTCTTTACCTGAGGGTGGTATTTAAGGTGAGAGCTTCTGCCATTTTGGCGAGTTGTTCAGTTTGCCTGAGCCTCTCCCATGTACACGTTATAAAACTTTGTTTAATTTTCTCCTGTTATTCTGTCTCATGTGAATTTAATTCGTTGTCCAGCCAGAAAGACCCAGAGTGGGTAGAGGAAATGTCTTCTTCCCCTACAGTGTACACATCACACTTTCCCCAAGATATTGCTGAATATCCACCATTTTTATCATCTTACCTTCTTTGATCTTGTTACCACACAAAGGGCACAATCTGCTCACCATGAGACAAAAGCCAATCATCAAGAGGCAAGATGGTGGCAGAGAAAGGGCATTTTATTACAGCTTTCTAACAAGAGGGAAGATGGTCAACTAACGTCCAAAAGAACCATCTCAAGGGGTCACAGAATCTTGAAGCAGTTATATAGGCCAGTGGGTTAAAGGGGAGGGGTTAGGAATGTTGACCCTCTGGTGTTACAGACTGGGAGTTGCCACACCAGACCTTTGTTTTCATTGATGATGGATATCAGCATAGACTCTCAGTTTGGGGGTCACCACATTCCTAAGGAACTTGAAAGAAAGAAGTACCATCTTATTGCAGCTGGGAGGTTATGTGCACAAGCAGGAGTCATAAAATCTACAGAACAGGTAGATCTCCTGGAGGGTGCAAATCCAGCTGGGTTAGTCAGAGGTCATTCAATGCTACAACATGGTCTCTTTTCCACAATATGGCTTCCCTTACGTCAACCTTGTGTTGAGCCGGTTTCAATCTTGACTTTTCCAGATACCACTTGTTTTTACATAATCCATGGCAAAATCTGCAAGATGCTTGACTCTAAGGAGTCTTTCCTAGTTTGGTAGAAGAGGCCTACAGCAAAGGACGCTGCTAGCTTATGCTGGTGTTCAAGGAACAGAGTCTTTTTTTTCATGTTAGGATATATATGCTAGGCATAGCAACAGAAATAGCAAGAGGGCCACAGAGTTATCTGTAACTCCCATGAAATTAAAATGTACTATGAAGAAAGCTCATCAGCAACCAGAGAAACTCCCGATGTTTTCACTAGATGGCTTGGATTTGAAGTAGATGCCAGGGGTTTAAATTTCCTCAATCTCACAAGTGGTTAAAAAATAAGAGGGAAAGCTAAACAAAGTACCCCATCACTCATTGCCCTTTCCTGAGCCAAGCACTTAAAAAATCTAATTATCAAGGTACATTTATGGACTATCTAACATGAACCCAATACTACAAAGGTCTCAATGTAAAACTACGTATCTCTGTTCTAAAAAGTGTCATCTGCTTCTTTCAGTTTTCAAACAGGTATTTTCTGCCTCCTGTGTGTGGCTGTAGCCCAGAGAGACCAGGTAGGTGCGGAAGCAGCAGTAGAGTATCCCAGGACAGCAACCACCTAGAAATCCACAGCTGGGATAGGGCTCGCCAGCTTTGAGGGCAAACCCAGACGTCTCCCCAACCCTGCCATTTTTATACTCAGTGTCGTTGTCAAGTAGAAAACACTAATCTGAAGCCCGACAAATTCTTTCTCAAGAAATCCTCAGGAAACTTCACAAGCAAAATTTCAGAAAAATCATGCTTTTCAGAAAAAGCATTTGAAAGAATCTTGATTTGTTTTAAATCAGTAAAGAGAGACAAATAGACTGCCAGTGATAGAATGAACGGTCTTGATCTTCTGAAGCTTATTTATCTTCAGAAGAAACCAAATTAAAAACTAAAACATCTTAAAGGGGCTGGATGACATCTTTTTATTATCTACAAGCCTTGAGGAAAACAAAAGCCTTGGATATTTTTCTCATCACACTTTTTCTATTAACTACCTACCGACAATTTTGCTCTTTTCTTCTTTCGCTCTTTTCTATCTTCCATCTTCATTACTTTAAAAAAATCTACCGAAGGATTCAAGTTACTTTTGTTATAGTCAAGTTTGTCATGTACACCTATCCTCAAACAGATGACTTTTGCGTCCCATAAAATTAAGAATTCAAAAGCAGATGCCTTCAGAGACAGAAAGCAGGATAGTTACTAGGGGCTGAGGGGAGGGGTGAGTGTGGAGTGACTGTTTAATGGGTACAGTTTCTGCTGGGGATGATGAGCAGCTTCCTCAAATGGATAGTGGTGACAGACAGCTGCACAACATTGCGAATGTGTTTAATACTACTGAATTGTACACTTAAAAATGGTTAAAATGGTAAATTTATGTTACGTATATTTTACCATAGTTAAAAAAAAAAAGGGACGAAAAAGCAGACACAGTACATCATCTCTTTCAGACATGACCAATTTATTCAGAAAATTCAAATTTCAGTTTGGCAGAGAGTTTGGGATAATCATTTAATTTGAGGCAATGACATTTTCTAGAGCTAATTGGCCATGGGGTAGCATCCGAAGTAAAGAAAGCAAAACTCTTAAAAGTAATTTAGTGTTTTTGAGCTGATAATCATAAATATTTGCAGAGGAAACAAAACAAACAACCAGCTGACACAACTGAGGCATGAGAAATCCTAATGCTAGTAGTAACCTTTTACTCAGTTTAGTTCAAGAGACATCACGCACCTTATTTGTTCAAGACATTGGGCTAGCTGCTGGGGTGGAGGTGGAAACACAAAAATCACCAAGACATGACCCCTGTCCCTAAGAAGTTTACACTAGCACATACAAAACTGAGCGCTATGGCGGGGTACAAACTGCTCTACAGACATGGCGGGAGGAGACTACTTCCCACAGGGGGTTGAAGTCGGGACTCTTAAATTTGGTGGTGTGGGTGAGGCAGGGTATAGCACGCCAAGAAAGGAAAACTCTGGTGTCTCAGCAACAGGAAACGGTCTAGCTCCTCTACAGCTTTAAATGTGTCAAAGGGGAAGGGATAGTCAAAGGTATTTATTTTTATTCTAATCCCCTCCATGATTAGCCCATTATAAGAAAGAGATTGACAGGAAGTGAGGATGATAAAAAACAAAGTTTCAACAGGCAGGGACATAGGCAGGGAACACCATTTCATAGTTTTAGTGTAAAGTCAATCCCTTGTGTAGTGTATACACATTTAGAAGCTTAAGTAACACCATCAAATGGGGGAAAAAAACGCACTGGGCAGCATCACAGTTCCTGATGGCAGAACATGATCTCTCCTGTTAGACTATGAAGCTAGCTTTGGCTACTGCCAGTGGTGGACGTAAGGGCACACAGAAACTGAAGTCCATAAATGTTCCCTCCTTAATTCAACATAAATGATGAAGATGGCTTAGAAGAGAAAGTTTGGGGAGAGAGATGAAGTCTTTGCAGGCTAACTGATCTAATGATGGCTTGGCATGCTGTATTTCCTATTTAAAAAGATACAGGATGAGCAAGTCTTTCCTGAATAATTTACTGTGTATAACATACACCTCAAAAAGAATCTTAAAGGAACATACTACCAATCAAACATCACAGTTTCTGCTTTTGCAATTTCCACAAATTACCTTAATCATAATACTTTAGGGACCCCCGACAAACACAATATATAACAAGTTATTTTAATGTTTTTCATCATCCTTGGCTTCTGAAAGTTTGAGTTATTTTATCTCAGAGGAAAACTACTTATAAATTTCATTTTCCCACAAAATTAATACACTGCCCAACTTTAAAAATAATTTAAACAAAGGAAAAGCTTTCCTGTAAGCCTTTACCAATGGTGAACTGGAATGGAAGCACCTGCCAGGCTTTGAGGAAATAAAAATAAACCACTTACATAACCAGCACCTCATAAACCAAAACCTCCTTCTCAAGTACGAAGTCCAATGCTTCTTGCCCTCTTATTAACTGCTAATCAGAAGGCTCCCCCATCTAGGAACTGCTCTGGTTTGTTACGTCATACAACATACAGTATTTTTTAACAGTAATAAATTGTTGATATGGTACCATGAATAAACAGCAATTCTAAAACCCAAGTGACTCAGAGGACTAGGAGAACATATAAGAGCACACTGAAATGATTTAAAAAGAAACTTTTTTAAAAAATGTAATCTATCCTGGTCTTATATTATTAATTCAAATTAAAAACCAAAGGATGAAGTATCACTTCAGTCCTATATACATCAAGATGCCAGTTCTTATAAAAATGTATTTTAGTTGTAAGTGCTAGATTATGCAAAAATAATTTTATATCAATTTTATTTAACTTTAATGAATTTTCCCCAACTCTAATATTAAAAACATCACAAGAACTTAAATCTTAAAATGGCAAAAAGTTCCTATTTTCCCCATCTATTAAAAAAAGATTTTGTTTTCCCTTATTAACATACAATGCCCTATTGTTAAGGCACAACTTTTTTTAGGACAAAAATGAAATGACAGATTAAGTCTATTTTACACAACAGTTACAAGACAGACTCTTTGTAGGCATATACTGAAAATAATTAAACACATCTTAAATTCAACCAAGATCTAAAATGAAAAATCATTATTTTTATCCAGGACCAATCAACACATAGCCAAGATAAGTAGTTGCAGTTGGATAAGCCAAACAATTTGTTTTTAACCTGCAAAAGATTGTCTCCATGAGGCCATTTTCAAGGTTTTACCAAGCAGAGGCAAGCTGGATATTTCTCTCAGGAACTGGGGGGAGCGCCCCAGCTTTCTCTACTTAGGCTTGCCCTATTAGAGAGTCGTCACCCTCAAAGCCGGAAGGGAAATCCAATTTTTGACTTAAGCATCTGAGACAAGGGTGGAGTTCCTGATTATGGGGGTGACGGCACATGTGGCTTTGTACTCTCCCTCTGCTATCCTTCCTGGGGCTGTCTTTCTTCTTTTCCACCCTCTTCTTGGCCTCTGCTCTTCCCCTACTTCATCTGATCCAATTTGCACAAGGTTCAAAGGAAACAGCAAGAATCTGCACAATTGTTACTTAAAACACATAAACCAAAACTCTTCATTACACAGCCATAAATAATTCATTTAAATATTGTTAAAATCAAGGAAAAAACACTAAAATTGGGGGAAACAATTGAACACAAAAGACAAATATGTCCCATCTTATAGGCCCTTATAACCTCAACTGAAATAGGGTTGCAAGCATGAAAACTAATAGAAAAAAGCAAGTTTTCTCAAGCAGGCTTATATACCCAACTCTCTTGTATTTTCTGCGTTTTCACTCTTTGAAGGACGGGTCAGAAGAAATGCTATGTAAAGACAGAGGCATTGGCTTAGACTTGACAGTGTAAAGCTTTGTGGTTTTGAAGGTGACTTTCCTCTACTTTTTCAGGAGAGTCTGTAAAAAGTAATAGCCAACGAGGACTCTGCCAGGATTGCTCTCTCCCACTGGGAACTTTCCTAGAGTCTCAGTTCTACCAATCCTGAGAGAAAGAGGTCTACGAGAGAATCAGCGTAAGTGCTGGGGAAGAGTAGATTGGTTAAGAAAGAGAAGCAGAAATAAAAGGAGCCCATGAACAGGCTAAGGAGATAGGGAACAAGGTAGAGAGGAAGTAGGGCAGAGGGACGGGACAGTTGATGGATACTGAAGTTACTGATGTCACTGCTTTTACTAAATGTGACATGTAAAACTTAATTTTATGGGCAAATTATGCTGTAAATAAGGGCAAAGGAAAGAGAAACGAAAGACCAGGAGTTGGGGAAGTGAGGGTCACTAAAAGTAAACTCTAGCTGTTTTGCTACATTTTAGAAATAATTTTATTCATTGTAATTCTGGGAGATATTACATGCCTCACTTACTCATGAAGGTGTTTTACTGGTATGTTCTGGCACAATAATGTCTTACATAAATAAATATAAATACTGTTCTTTGTACTTATATTAGTTCTGTAATGTATATTGACTTTTAGAAACAAAAACAATTTTTTAAATGAACTTCCTATAAAAGCACTTAAAAATCATTAGTAACTAGAGTATACCCAACAAATTATAAAAATAATGCATTTAACTGTCAGCCAAGGTCTTAATTTTTGCATAAAACACAAGCCTTTCACAAGTCATTATCTACATGCAGATTAATGATATTAAAAATAAAACCAATCATGCTTGCTAATATGAACTAGTTCCATTTCCATTAAATCAGAAAGTTTCCATGTCATATTGAGGAAAAACCCTCCAATTAAATTCTATTTCCTAATATGCCAGTCCTATTTCCCTATGTTTGACACATTGAGACTAAAACCAATGCTTATACCACAGGACTCTGGAAACAGCATATGCCTTTGCCATCTCTCCTGAGAAAAAACATTTCCTCATCTCATTGCAAAGTAAAAAGATGAAGTTTCCAATACGCTGTTCAGAATTCCTAAGTCCTGTTTAAATATCAAGTGTTCCAACTACCAAAACTTTGAATGAATTTTCACTGAACAGAAGCCTACCTACTGAGGTCCACTACCCTATGAGATTTGTGAGCGGTTGCTAGAGATTAGGTGGCTATGTGGATCACACTAGATTCAATTCCCTCATGAGGAATTAAAGGGTTTTGTGCAGTGTAATATGCAAACCTAAAGTTGTATGCACATTCCACCAGGTGAGGATGTCCACTCTTTGGTCAATTTTACCTCCAAGACAGGAAAATAAATGGAAAGTTATTTTAGGGTTAAAAATTTAAAAGAAAGAAATTATGAGAAATCTCTCTCCTTATCAGTGTATTATGGAATACAAGGACATCAAAGTCACATGAAATAATGGTATTGTTTACGTGAAGTTTCCAGATACCACAGTGAGAGAAATCAGATATCCCAATGAGAGACAGTTCATCAAGAAAGGTTCTACTTACAATGACACATGCCACGACCTTTCTTCCAACCAGATTCTGCATTCTGAATAGAAAAAAACTCATCAGAAAGTAACTTTAACCTTCATTATTTTAATCTGATGGGCAACTATAAGGTATCTCAAGAGTTATTAGCTTGAGTTTGGTTAGGTTAGATCCCTTTATTAATGGTAAAAGCAACCACGGCAAAAGCAGCCATAACTCACTCTTGATACTGAGAATCTCTACATATAAACCCGGCAAATTTTTTAAAAACTACTAAAACAAGGCTTTTGAAAATAACGAAAGCTAGTTCAATTCATGTAATGTCAAATAATTTTCAATTAATGATAGAATCAATTATATTCTTACAGTGCTTTACAGTATATTTTGTCCCTAATGAGAAAATGCACCAAAATCCTAGTGCTAACCCTGAAACCTTAGTCCAAACCTTACAATTTAAAGACTAAATGTTGGTCAAGAGGGAAAGGATGGAACCATGCACTGTCTACAGGGCAAACAAAAATCAACAAGATGGCAGAAATGTTGAACCCACGGGTACAAACACTTTTCTTTATAAAAACAAAACACACACAGAAATTACAATTACAACGCAACCATCATGTCTATATTCTCTACTAGCTGGTGAACCTGTTATTAAAATTTCAAAGGAAAAAAATTTAAGTTTTTTCTATTTTAATCTAGAAGAAATAATCAGTAACAGACAACTAAAGCATTTGTTGCATATTAATGAGTATGTGGCTTCTTGTGCTTTCCATCTTAATTAGGGGTAAAAACCCCCAATTACTTTATTTTCAATGAGATATAACTGTAAAGGAATAGTATAAACATCTACACAAAATCAATCCTTTCTCTTCAGCCCAATTCTATATGAAAAGTACTAACAAATATTGAAGATTCATGATGTTATGTGAAAATGGTGACTCACAACAATGTAGACTTAAGCTATAGGTTTTTAATTCACAAATATATATATATATATATATATATATATTTATATGCGCCTTGTGTATGACAACCGTACGAAAATAGTCTCAAAAATAAAGACAATACTTGAGACACGAAGCAACCCATTTTCCCTGATCTCGCATCCTATCACAGGGAAAATAAATCTCTGATGCTTCATAAATACTTTAAAAAGTTTGGGATGGCCTTAACCATGCATAGTCTTCACCGATCCTTTGAAGCCTCCAACATTTCAGGCTGACTGCTCAGCTCTGGAAAAGCTGGGACTTGTAATTAGCCTTGCTTATTTATGTCCTGTCTTCTCGAGATCTGGGAGTTTTCTGACCAGAGCCTGATGGTTCATACTGATGCTAGCGAGCAGACCTCCTTCAATGCCGTCGGAACCAGTATAACTGATTTCTTCACCACTCAGGGTAGTCATATGCCCCCCAAGGGCTTTTAAGATGGCATTGCCAGCACATATATCCCACTTTTTGATGTATGTCACATGGATATATAGATCAGCTTTTTCTTGACTTTTATCAGGCACATCCAAGAGCGCTAAAACTTTATAACCTAAAACATAAACACAGAACTTAGGTCACTGTTAGAAAGATTTAAAGACAGCAACAACACAGACATTAAACCCAAATGAGCAAAAAATATACTGCAAAGTAACTTATTAAGCTATTCTCAAGTATAACCAAATACATGTCTATAATTTTTTAAATTTAAATCTACTTTCTGGTTGTTTTCTGTGGAATGACACTTTCTGTATACATATTTCCTATGGAATATTATACTGAAGCTAAACTTGCACAGGTTTCACTTGACTATCTAGGAAGGCCAGATTTGAAAGATGAGGGCACAAAATAACACTACTATCTTAAGTCCTTTGTTAATGAGACATAATTTTAAAAAATAAAATAAATGCAGAAGAAACTGGGTCTAGAATCTGGTTTATCCCTTCCTACTAGGTATTCTGCATACTAACTTTCCTAACCAACTTAATAGAGAGCCTATAAGAAAATGATAAAGCCACATTAAGGAAGACAAATATACGTAATCAGCAAATTAAAACTATCAGGCTTAAAAGTTAATAAGCATTACCTTTCCCTTTATTAGGGTGCTGAAAGGGTTTTTCAAGCACAAATATCTCTGACCATAATTTGCTATGTATTTGAAATAAAACACTTGTAATATTAAATAGCACTCAAAACAAAGGTGGGCAAAGCCCACGAGCCAAATCCAGGACACAGCCTCTTTTTGTACAGTCTTCAAGCTATAAATGGTTTTCTATATTTTTAAAAGATGGTTAAAAAGAAATCAGAGAGTATCTAATAGAGACCATTATGTGTCTCACAAAGCCTAAGATATTTACTATCTGGACTTTCAGAAAAAGTCGGCAACCTCTGATCTATAACACTGGTAACACCATACACAGTACAGAATATACATTAAGATGGGTAGGCACAGACTGTTTGGCTCATCCCAGACATGCAAGTTGAGGAGTCTAGGTGTGTTAAAAGTGGCTCAGTGGGGCTGGCCCCATAGCGGAGTGGTTGGGTTCATGCACTCCACTTCAGTGGCCCAGGGTTTCGCTGGTTCGGATCCTGGGTATGGACATGGCACCGCTCGTCAAGCCATGCTGAGGCGGCATCCCACATGCCACAACTAGAAGGACCCATAACTAAAAATACACAACTATGTACCAGGGGGCCTTGGAGAGAAAAAGGAAAAATAAAATCTTAAAAAAAAAAGTGGCTTAGCAATGAGCTGTTCTAACAAAACCTATGGTGACTCCCGGCATCCTTCTACCATACAAGGCATTGTAATGTGCTTGATCTTTTCTTCTCTCTCTGATAGTTCCACAGTTAAACTAATAGGATAATTATTTTAAAATCAGATCACAGACAAAACAACCATTGATAACATCCCTGACAGGCAGATGCCTTGGTAGTATTTAAGGAAGAGAAATCACTGTTGTGAGATCGTCTGCTTCTATGTGAGATTGTTTCTAACAAGAAGGCTTGTACAACTGAAATCCCACCCTAGAGATAAGCATGCAGAAGACATGCCTGTCTCAAAAGCACACTGTCCATTCTCACTGTCTTCCCAGGCATGGGGACAACCAAATCTGTCTCCTGAGATAAACCCTGACATGCTGGGAACACTTCACAGGCGTGACAGGGGAGTAGAAACATACCAGCACCACCAGCTGGGATAATTGTAGTCTGGTTTCCAAAAGTCTGAAGAGCAACCTGTTTGACCATTCCTGAATGGGAGCGAGACACAACGATCCTTGGGGTCTTCTCATTGTAGGAAGTGCGGGCTTTCACATTTGACCCACCATCTACCATTGCCCATGCTGAAAAGTAAACATAATATCCATTAATAACACACTTAAGAGTAGAAGTGAAAATATCAAGAGAAACTGAAAAAATGTCCTCTTCCATAGAATTATTTGTACGTTTTTTTCTAAAACAGAAAGCTTTCTTTCCTAAGTACAAGAGTAATATGTTCATATTTTTTTTACATTAAAATAGGCACATATTAAGACAAAGCAAGGCCATTTAATCCTGCCTAGCCAGAGAAAATGACTATTAAATACTTGGCTTAAGCTCTCCCAGGTTCCAGGGTTCCCTGTTCGGTGGCGGCTGAGTCTTCACTGGGATCCAACTGCAAGTAAACTTCTCCTTGACGGTAATTTCACTTCCTTCCCTCCCTTCCACAAATGTGATCCTAAGAGCACCCCCTAGTAAACATCCTGCATGCCAATCTCCATCTTAAAGTCTAATTCCTGGGGAACCCAACCTGCAACAACCTATGACATAAACACAACTAATTACCCTGGATAATTCAAATTTTAAAATCAATTTTTCTCCTATACTACCTCTACTTCTGATATATTCTTGGTTTCAATTATTTGCATATTGGCTCAATCTCCTAAGGAGTTTTATAAACATAAAACAGTTAAAGAGGCGAGTGAGTTAGGTTTATATACCTGCTTACCAGAGAGTATAAAATGCTCTAGATTTCAAATTAGAACAAAAATTTTTAAGAAGGTGAGAAGACCCCAGAGATGGCCTGAAATGTTTTTCTTGGTTTGCAAGTTTTCTTTACTCACAACTAAACCATACACGAAAACAAATTTACTCATAATTATCCCAATGAGATAGTTGTTCTGGCAGTCACTCACTATGGGATAAAATACAGTCCACCATGGCTAGCAATGAAAGCTGCTGCATTACCACTCAGTCCTGGCTGCAGAAAAATATCAAAAACATTAACAGACTCTGAGTTTCTGAGTTTCTGAGTTCAAGGATGATGGCAGTCTCTTGCACTCTTTTCAGACTTATTTCTAAAAACCACACACAGCAACAAAGAGAGAAAATACAAACACCCTTAATCAATACCTAATGAATAAGTAGGATACACAGGCTAGCTATAAACACAAATTTATGAGAAGGAAAGGGAGTCAATAGCAAAGATCAGCAGAATAAGTACCGCAGCCAACCCCAACGTGAGGAAGGCAGCAGGAGCTTCACAGAAGTACCAAGAGGTCAGAGGACTCTCGGTGATGGGAGAAGCCAGATAACATCAGGCAGGATTTCTTCCCAGAAGGAAAAGATTCCATCTAAAACAAGAACTACTGAAAGTAGGTCTGAAACTTGGCAACAGAGCAGTGAGAAGAGGCTCGGAAAATACATGGAATAAAAACTGTAGTCTTGAGAACACAATGGACGATGTATGACATCTTTGAGGACGTCTCTCCAAAAGAGAAACAATTTGGAAGACAGTAAACAGAACCAAAGAGAAAGAAGGAGTTTGAAGATATGGGTGCTACTGAAACAAGACAGGATCAAACAAGAAAGAAGAAATGTGAAAACAAAAAAAGGTGCCTGATAATAAAGATAATGTCTTCCTCACGCTAACAGAAAAGAAAGCACCTGAACTGAGAATCATCCAAAGTCCTTTTCTGCCACCACCCTCGCACCAATTCTACAGTAGCTGGCCCAAATATGAACAAGAAATATAAAACTGCAATGTCCATTGAAAAACATGAAGAAAACACAGGGAATGAAGATTAAAACATTTCAAGCTACTTAAAAAATTTCTACAGACGAAAACTATAAGACAACATTCCAAAATGATTAAAAACATATAAGCAACAAAAAATGAAAAGAACACTATGAAATACAAAAATCCAAGAACTCAGAAAAGGTGGATAAACAATAGGAAGATATGAAATGGGAACTCACATAACACAAGAAAGAAACTGAAAAAAAAAAGGACAAAAATCACTGAAGACTTAGCATTAAATCACATGATATACAAAGGACAAACGTATGTCCAAAAAGTATAGCAAGCAACGAGAAAAGCAGAAAATAAGTGAAATAAGTAAACGGATAAAGGACCAGAGAGAAACTAGATAGAGAAGCCAGTGAAAGAAAAGTCAACATACATATATTAGGAGTCTCTGAAAAAGAAAAGCAAAATAATGAAATACAACTAATCTTTAAAATTATGACTCAAGAAAATGTCCCTGAAATAAAAGAGGACCTAAATGTCCACACTGAGAGATATACTATGACATATTATGTAGACATCTGCCCAGAATGCCAACTCTGAATCTGAGATATAGTTCTACTATTAGACTTTAAAGTTCTTTGGCACTCCAAGCAAAAAGACCAAACCACTTACAAAGGAAAGAAAATCAGGTTATCAGCCTTATTATTATTGCCAACAAGATTCAATGTGTGCCTTCACAGGTATCACAGCAGTTAAACAGTTTTTACCAGTTAACCAAGAAAAAAGGTGTATAGTGGGTTGAATGGTCCCTTACTGAAATTCATGTCTACCCAGAATCTTCAGAATGTGACCCCATTTGGAAATAGGGTCTTTGCAGCCGTAATTAAAGCTGAGGTCATTCTGGATTAGACTGTACCCTAAATTCAATGACTGGTGTCCCTATAAGGAGACACAGAAACACACAGACAAAGTGAGTGAAGACAGAGGCATGGATTGCAGTGATGTGTCTACAAACCAAAGAACAGCAAGGAATGCCTGGAGCCACCAGAAGCTGGAAGAGGCAAGGAAGGATTGTTCCAATGAGCCTCCAAAGGGAGCACAACACTGCTGACATGTTGATATCAGACTTTCGGCCTTTAGAACTACCAGAAAACAAGTTTCTGCTGTTCTAAGCCACCGAGGTTGTGGTAATTTGTCATAGCAGCCCTAGGAAATGAATATAATGTGAACCAAAGATTTTATAACTAGCCAAGGTCTTTCAAGAATCAAGGTTATAGAAAACGCTTTTAACATGTAAGAACTCAGGTAATATCACATCCATGAGCAAGCTCTTCTGAAGTAATCTATTAGGGGATAAGTTTTATCCAACCAAGGGATGATCGAGGAAATCTCAGCAAAAGCACCAGTGGTTAGCACTGAATAAATTTAACTGTGGATTTAAGAGGAAATCAAAAATAGGAATAAAGGTGGAAGAATAAAGGTAAATAAATGTTATCTCATAGTTGATTGGTGACAAAGGATTCCACTTAAATCTGAAGAGCTGAACAGTAGAGTAGAAAGATAAACATCCAAAAAGACCTGATTCACTAAAATGGGGCAGTGGTCAAGAAGGAGGCTAAAATAAGCTAATTTAATTGTTACTCACAGGAGAGAACCAACAGATGATACTTAAAGAAAAGGACCATATAATGATATCTACAGAATCTTACTAAAGGTGTTAGTAAAAGTGAGCAAGAAAAGGAACAAATTTAACTTAAAAAATAATAACTGCAGTTTGAATCACATTGAATATGTAAAAATCTATGAGATCATAAGGATATTCAAAGGTGAATATTATCCAACACCCCCCCCCCACCCCCCCAAAAATAACAGCTACTCGCACGGGAGGTAGTTTTTACTCTAATGCCTTACTTGAAAATTGGTAAAGGAAGAGCTAAATATTTTCCTGTCTTTCTAGTAGGAACTACATTTCAGGATAAATAACTAACTCCAGTTGATGAAGAAACTTCTCTACAGAATTCCAACTAACATACATAGAAAAAAACAAGAGAATTAGAAAATCCCATTTTACATGTTTAATAGATCTTAAAACTATTAAGTAAAAGATTTAACAGAATCTCAATCTCAAATGGTGTCACAATATCTCTCCAGATTACCTGCTGGCAACAAGAGAATCAAAATAATTTTTGTAACAGAGATCTGGTCATGACCACCTTAACCATCTTAAGCACCATTAACAGTGAGATGAGATACTATAAGTCACGTAATACGATGCAGTAACAAGTACATTAAGAAGGTCTACAATGTACTCTTGACAAAAATGCTTAACTTAATCCAATCAAGGCTTCACATCTAATTCACCCTTTATAAGAAAAAGAAGATGTAAAAATACACAAGTCAAACAATACCCTGAGGCAATATTAGAAGAATCCAAAAGGCAGGACATTCTATCACAACTGACCTGGTCAATGTCATGGGGAAAAAGGAGCCTGGAGATTATTTTAGATTAAGAGAATTTAACATAGCGACCCAACAACCAAAAGAAATGCTTGCCACTTGACTGGATCTTGGTTTGAAGTAACTAGTTGTAAAATCCACTTTAGAAACAACTGGGGGAAACATACTTACATTCACAATGGATCAATTAGGGAATAATTGTTAATTTTATTATTATATTAATAGTACCGTTCTTGTGTAGAATATATGTCCTTTTTAGAGATGCATACTGAAATATATAGGGGTAAAATGTAATGATCTTCGAAATTTTCTTTAAAGTAAATAAGCAAAAAAAGAAGCAAATATATAAAAATGTTAACTGTTAAATCTAGTTAAATCTAGATGAAGGAATATATAGATATTCATTATAATTTTATGTTTGTTTCAAATTATTCATAATATAAGTAAAAAAAAGTAATGAGAAAAAGGAAAAATCACAAGTAATCCTCCAAATTCTTTTTAGAAATGATCAAAAACCATGGTTTTACTAAGAAGTGAATTTACAATGCTCTATCTCTAGAGGTCAGTATTGCATAAGACAATAAAGACAGCATATCTCAGTAGATAGTACAAGAATAATTTTAGGTAACAACTAAGTTAATATTTTTTATAGAATATTTTATGTTACATAAACTCAATACATTCAGCAAGACACGTATATGGACAAAATTATTTCAAGCACCTTAAAAAATACAGTAGGTGCTTAAATAAATGTAAGTGATTGATGAGGAGGAGGAGGTAACAGAGATAAGGGAAAACAGCAGTTAACAATGTTTTTATTCTGTCTGCAAGATATGCCAAAAATAGTCCAGCAGGAAACAAAAAGTGGTTGGTACTTGGCTACACAGACTTCAAACATTATAACATTTCTAATAGCTCCAAATTTCCACTGAGTGGATACACTACACTTACTCATACATTTATACGTTACTTCATTAAAATACTATTCAAGTATCTCTTGCTTCTTAGAATTTCAAACTCAGTGAATTAATTCTAAGTCTGATAAGAATTTTGAGCAGCTTTGCTCTAACTGCTGCCAACAACAATATCTAGCTCCCATGACAGTCAAGCATAGCTAAATTCTGGTAAACATACAAACTTGACAGTTGGCACTCTTCAACAGCAATATACGGTCTGGGTCTGAAAATAACAATCTAAAAAGAGGACACAAGGCAAACAAACCATTGACCCAGGAATGGAAGGTCAAACCACGCCTAATTAAGGACTCATTGACTCTGTTGGAATGTTTGCTGACTAGCAAGCACCTTATATTCTAACAACCTGGGCAGTCACGTCAGCTGCATCACATAAGAACAGGGTATTTTATTACTAACTTAAAAAGACATTTGTGGAACATAACTTGCTCCTAAATTAGAGACTTTTGGCTTTTTTATTTTCAGGGAGGTAAGCTCATGAGGGAGAAATACATATTCTTGTGGAATAAAGAATTTAGAAAACGGGCATTTTATTATCCCTACTGTCCCCCTCTAAAACGAACAGACATGGAAACTAGGGCCCAAAGAATGTGAATCTATTTGCCTATCTGGTATCAATTTCTTCTGGATTTCCTTTATTATGGTTCCAATTCTCTTCAGAGTTGCAGGCTCTGTTGGCAGCTAAGGGTGCCATGTAACATCTGGCCAATGAGATGAAGCAGAGGGCTTCTAGTCATTCTTTCTTGATACAAAGAATATCCGGGATAGAGCTCTTGTCCTCCTTCTTTCCCCTTTCTTCCTGCCTAGAACAGAGCCATGGCTAACTCGAAGCACCCAATTTTGTAAGCAGGCAAACAAAAAGTCACCTTCTACGACAAAAAGCAAAGAGAGGAGTCAGGTCCATAACAGTATCATAAAATGACTGAACCACCCCTACTTTTTGGCTGTCCTATTAGGTGAGAAAAATAAAGCCCCTACTTGTTTAACCACTGTAATCAGTTTTACTTTATATACAGCTAAATGCAATCCTAACTGATATGGAAGAGGCAATAAGGGACATTGCCAAAAGAATAAGGGGGGGGGGGGGCCTCAAAGACTTAAGCCCTGTACTTTTATATATCCGTTTTCTCTTTTTTATTAAAAAAAGTCATTTTAACTCCTGCTTTATATTCTTTCCAGAGTTATTTGGAGGCTGAGTGAATTTATGTCAATACACTTCAGAAACTATGAAAACACTAAACAAATGCAAGATACTAGCAAGGAATGATTAGCTCTTGCAGTAACATTGTGAACTGTATGTTTTTATAAGAGCTGCTAAGCCCCTTTCCTCATCTACAAAAAGATAGTAACAACATTTTTCCTTGTCACACAGAGTTATCTATCAAAAGGTTCAAATGAGATAACACTAAAGTAAACATTATATATTATTATGAAAGTGGTGTGATAAACTGATTTGCATAAAATTCCTGGGGTTGATTCCTTCTCTAATTTAGCTGGATGACCTTGAGGAATGAATCAAATTTCTGAGTCTCACTTTCTCACCTGTAAGAGGGAGTATTAATGGTAATTTTGTCCCTCCCTCACGAGCTATACTAAGTGTAGCAGTACTGCTAGATTATACTCCAATATCCACTTTCCCTATTTTCCCTGAGTGACAGAATTCCTGAATTTTAGCTTGGATGGCCACTGAAAATAAAGACTACATTTCTTAGCCTCCCATGTGGCTGAGTTCTAGCTATGTTTTGATCAATGGATGTGAGCTGAAGTGATGCGTGCGACTTACGGGTCAAACCTTTAGTGGGAAACATCTTCCATGTCTCCCTTTTTACCCTCTCCACTGGTAGAATGTGGATGAACCAGTGAGCCATCATCACTCACACAGAGGAGGGTAACAAACTTTAGCATAGCAAAGTAGGAGAGGGAATGGCCTCTGTGCCAGGTACCAGGGAGCTGCCATGGCAACCCTGGCCTGCTTACATATAGGCTGCTACAGAAGAGAGAAAAATAAACTCTTTTGTTCAACCTCCTGTATTTTGGTGCATATTACAGCAGCCTAACCTGTATCCTAACTAATTCAGTAAGAACTAAACATGTGAAAGCAATCCATAAACCATAAGGCAATTATGTAACTAATATTAAGGCACATTATCACAGTAATGGCATAAACCTTTTGTAGCTCATCAAATTGTCAACTTTAAAAACTATCTGAATTATGAAAATGAGATTAAAGCCCAGACAATACAAAGCAGATTTGATTTTGAAATGTAGAACCAACTCTCAAATACATGTTTAGCCTAACTCAGAGCAGCTAGAATTTGGGATACAAGGTTATTCTCAAAGCAAATGAATTTAGAGTAATCAAAAATAAACCGTGTGTCTATTTCTCTCCACTTGACAGACAGCCCTATAATGCACTGTCAGCCACACCACTGAGACACAATGGAGAAGGCTGGAGTAAATGATAGAACTGTATGGACGCCAGGTGCATCAGTTTCCCAGGGCTGCCGTAACAAATTACCACAAACTCAGAGGCTTACAGTAAGATAAATTTTTCTTTTTTTTTTTGCTTTTTTCTCCCCAAATCCCCCCAGTATATAGTTGCATATTTTAGTTGAGGGTCCTTCTATTTGTGGCATGAGAAATTTCTTTTCTCATAGCCTGGAAGCCAAAGGTCCAAAATCAAGATATTGGCAAGATTTGTGCCTTCTGGAAGCTCTAAGGAGAATCCGTTCCATGTCTCTCTCCTAGCCTCTGGTGGCTGCTGGCAATCTTTGATATTCTCTGGCTTATATTGCAACACTCCAACCTCTGCCTCCACCTTCACATTGTCTTATCCTCTTGCTGTCTGTATATGCTGTTTCTTCTAAGGAGACTCTCATTGGTTTAAAGGCCCACCCTACTCCAGGATGATCTCATCTTGATACTTCCCTTAATTACATCTGCAAAGACCTTATTTTCAAATAAGGTCACATTCTAAAGTTCCAGGTTGTTATGGTTGAATTGTGTTCCCTCAAAAGATATGTTGAAGTCCTAACCCCCAGTACCTCAGAATGTGACCTTATTTGGAAATAGGGTCATTGCAGATGTAATTAGTTAAGATGAGGTCATGCTGGAGTAGAGTGGACTCTTAATCCAATATGACTGGTGTCTTTATAAAAAGAGAAGAGATACAGTGACAGCGACATAAGGAGAATGCCATGAGATGATGGAGGCAGAGATTGGAGTGATGTGTTTACAAGCCAAGGAACACCATGGATTGCTGGCAAACTACCAGAAGCTAAGAGAAAAACATGGAAGGATTCTCCCCTACAGGTTTCAGAGAGAGCATGGCACTGCCAACTCCCTGATTTTGGACTTCTGGCTTCCAAAACTGTGAAAGACTACGTACCTGTTGTTTAAAGACACATGGTTTGTGGGGTTTTTTATGGCAGAACTAGGAAACTAATTGAGGGGTGGATGTGAATTTGAGGATGACATTATTCAACCCACTGCACCTGGTCATTAAGGCTGCTTTCATCACTGGCAAAGTGGATACTGTCACCATCAAGAACCACATCATCTTAAAGAATAGTGGAGCCAAAAGGGTCTTAATCCCTGTCCCGTGTTTTTCATGGGAGTTACCACAAAGCATGCCTACTCCTTTCAGACTGTCAGCAATATTGCTTACACCATTGTTTCCCTCAACTTCTCCACCATGAGAACTCATGGTGTCATTGTAGACTTGTGACACAGTCCATGCCATCACTCCTACCCAGGAGACCATGGCTAGCCTCTCTGGTAGACCGTGGCATTATGGTTGCAGTGATACCAAAATGTCAACCCAGCATCCATTAGCACTGGCAAGGCTTTGGGTAAGGTGATTCCTGAGCTGAATGGGAAGCTTTGGCATGGCCTTCCATACTCTCACTCCCAACACGGCTGTCATAGATCTGACCTGCCATCTGGAGGAAGCTAACAAATATGCCTGCATCAAGAAGGTGGGAACTCAATGGTCCGAAGGAACTCTGAAGGACATCCAGGGCTAAAGAGAGATTAGCCTAATTATTGAGACTTTCACAGTAACATCATCCATTTTTGATGCTAAGGTTGGCATTGCCCTTAACCACCACAATATACCCTTAACCACCATAATATAAAACTCATTTCCTCATATGACAACAGCTTTGGCTAATGACACTTCACGGTGGACTTCGGAATCCACACAGAATGTATAAGAGCCCTGGACCTTTTCCCCAGCAACAGCATGTGTGAAACCGAGAGGAGCCCAGCTGCTAGGGAGTCTGTGCCCACCTGTATTCCCCAAACACTAAGAATCTCTCATCTTCATTCGACACAGTTTCTATCCTTTAAAGAAAGTTTAGAAAGCTCTGCTTTGTAATGTATCATCAGTACCAACAATAAAATCCTCATTGTATCCAGTGAAGGGGTGAGGTAGGGTAGGGGATTAACTTTAATAAATACTGATCTTAGCTGAGATTCTGACAGGACAGTAAGTACAAGAGACAAATGAGTTAATAACATTAACGCTTGCTCTAGCATATTTCTTACCTGTATATTTAGAAAATGGCTTATGTATTACTCCTAGCACAGGTTTACCATTTACAGCCACACACACCATAGTAGTGACATACTTTCGAAGATCCTCTATGAGAAAAGAAAACCAAAAACACAATTGTCAAAGTAACATATAAATTCCGGATACAATGTTATATTTTATTTCACTAACAATTTATCTATACAAAATGTCTTATCTTGGTCAACAATCCCCTCAGACAAAGAGAGTCTAGCAATGAGAGCCACTTCAAGGGAGTAGTTGAGTTTTGGTTTTGTAAGCAGATTATCTGGGTTATTTTCCCAACCCACCATTTTATCAGCTGCCTGTCTCTGTGCAAATTACTTAAATTCAGTTTCCTCATCTGTGAAATACAGACACTAATTAACTACCCATTTTAGGTATAAATTAACTAATTTTTAATTTTAGGATTAAATTTAAAAATCAAGTTCAGTACCTAGAATAGTCCCTGCATAAGGGATGCACTCACTAAATATTATCACTACCATATGATCAGGCCAATCTCAGCTTAGAAAAAACTTTTTAAATCAACAAACCCCTCAATATTCCATATTTCTATTATCTACTCCTGTAAAATATTGTTTCATAATTTCAGTTACTATTAGATACACACAGCTAGTGCCTTCTCTCTGATCTCCAAATAGTTACCTATTGAGTGTCTATTATGGGCCAAGCTCAGTGCTTAAGCGTGAAAATACAAAGGTAAGAAAACAGAAGCTCCCACATTCAGAGAACTTACCATCTCGAAGGAGGACAAATATACAAGCAACCAACTTTAACATATACACCAAGAGAACAGAGAAAAAGTAGGAATTAGGTCATTCTGGGTAAGAAACAAAGCATGCGAGAGGATCCACAGAAATGAAACCTGAGCTAGAACCAGGTAAAAAGAATGAAAATAGGAGGTGGGGAAGTAATTCTCTGATTTGCTACTTACTCGCTCTCTGGGTACCTAGGATTTACTATTTTGAATTCCAAGGAGAGACGTACATGCAATAAAACCTAAATTCCCACTATCACAGGTAAATATTGTATTCTGGCTATATAAATAAAGACCTCAATAATATACACCTCAATATACAAGTAAACACCTCAATAAACAGATATCTAACAGGAACCATTTTGTTGGTGTGACTGATAAAAACCTCCCTTCACTGAAGAATCAGTGACACAGTGAGTCACTATCACCCACAGGAGTACACAGAGTGGTTTGGGCAGAGGTTGGGAAGGGGAGTTGATAGTAACCAATCCAGTCCAGATGTTTCATACCACACTGCATCAATTCAGCTCTGTCTTATAATCTACTTAGAAGAGTTGCCTTAGATTGGTAAAATGCCTACTACCATGTATATACCACCTGCCCTAGTTCTGGTTCTCTAATAAATAATGGCAATCTGAAGTTAGAGATCAATTTTAATTTTAGAATTACCTGTATATTCCTGTGTAGCATCAAGTGGGTCGATCCACACAGTAACACTTTCCGCTGGTACCTCTTTAGGGGCGGCTATTTCCTTCAGGATGTCCTCAGGAATCTTACGATCCCATAAGATAACCTCCTGATCAGTTGCATCCACGTGTTCCTCAGTATTTATCTGCACCAAAAATAGTTGACAGTTAAAAAATTTAAAAAGAAAAAATAACTACCTGAGAAAACACAAAAGAGAAAAACATTTCAGACAAAATCACATAGATTGAAAGTAGGTAAATCGATATTTTCGTTTATTTTGAGGCATTTCATTGCAAAATTAAAATATATCGCAAAAGAAATCCCAGGGACATCTTGTCTTTGAGTACTTTCCAATCTAATATTCAAGTTTAGCTTGTTGTCTAAGTAAAAGAGAGAGTCCAAATATAGAGAAACTAAGCATCAAAGAAACAGCTGTTTAAAACTTAATGATATTTATGAAAAATAATAGATCTAAAGTATAAAAATAGACTGGCAATATCTTCAAACACAAGCAACTAGTAAGAGTTAGAAGGAGAAAATAATGGACTTAAAAAGTAATATGCTTTACAAATAGGGAATCTATAAATGCTAAGAGATGTAATGTCCTAGAAAAGTAGTCATCTAAAATATACCTGTGATCAACTGGAAAAAGGAAACCTGGAAATGATGAAACAGATAATAAACCAGATTTTATACAATATAAACAAAGCTGAAGTGAGTAAACAAAAGAGAGAAAAAAGTCAGTCTTCTCTTCATTATACACCAAAGACATGTCACAGGATAAGGAGGTAAAGTCGAATTTTCTACTTTTTATTTACCAGAAAACAAAATTAAAATATAAAATCAATCTGACTAACCATACAGATATGTAAAGGTGTGGGGTGAGTAGAGAACCACCGCTCTGAACAGTGAACTTTTTCATGCATACTTAAAATACATTCTGAGTTACTAGACAATTTAAAAGTAATGTGTTAGAACTGTATTTACTTTTATAAATTAGGACAAGCCAGTGAAGCAAATTTAAGAATTGACTGTACTTTAAGAATTAGGTTAATAACAAACTGACAACTTTATTCAAATACTGCTTTATCAGAAGACTTCCTCTATCAGATCATAATATACACACACAAGAAAAATGTTCCCAAAATGTGGAATTCAATTAGGGACTAACACCTAAGCAGGACAGGCTTTTGGATACTGTGCTTTCTGACAAGCTCTGTTTCTGGGGTAGATCACCAAGTTTATACTGCATATGACACCATGCCCAGACTCCATACTACCGTCTCAGAGCGATTATAACACTGACAATACATGAGTAAAGTCACATAGGATGAAAACCTTGCAACTATCAGTAATCTCTGAAAAGTACTCTGAAATATCCCAAATTGTCACAGAGGTTAAAATAGTAACATTCCAGAAACATTAAGTCATTTAAATCATAAAATAATTTTAGTACAGTGTACAGTAAACATCTAATTTGTTCATTCACTTATTTATTGATTCAGCAAACGTTAACTGACTGCTTACTATATGTAAGACATAGTTTCAGGGCATAATGCACAATGGTGACCAATGTGAGACAAAAATCTGTGTCCTTGTGGAGCTTAGATTCTAGTGAAAGAGATAAACAATAAACAAGATAAATAAGTAAAACATGTATGCTGGATAGTGGTAAGAAAGAGAAAATACAGCAGGGAAGAACAGGAAGAGTGTTGTAGGAGTAGAAGACCAGTTATTCTTTAAGGTAGGGTGGATAGGATTATGCATAATCGCCCAAAACTAGAAACTACCAAATGTCCATCAGCTGTTGAATGAATAAACAAAATGCGGTACATCCATATGCTGGAATATTATTCAGCCATAAAAAGAAATGAACTGATTCATACTAAAGCATGTATGAACCTGAAAAGCATAATGCTGAGTGAAAGAAGCAAGACACAATACACCACATACTTGATGATTCCATTTATGTGAAATGTCTGGAACAGGCAAATCTGTGGAGACAACAGATTAGTGGTTGCCTGGGGCAGGAGGTAGAACAGAGAATAGAAGTAAATGGGCACAGGGATATTATTGGGGTGATGAAAACATTCTAAAACTGATTAATGCTGATGATTGCACAACTTGGCAAATCTACTAAAAATTACTGAATCGGACATTTGAAATGGGCAAATTATATGGTATGTAAAATATGCTGCAATAAAGTTGTTTGGTTTTTTTTTAAAAAAAAAAGTAGCTAGGGAAGCCCTCACTGAAAAGCTGGTATTAGAGTGAAGATCTAAACGAAGTGAACCTACCAGGCATCTAAAGGAAGCATATTCCAGCCCATGGAGTAACAAATGTAAAAGCCCTGAGGTGGGAGTGTGCCTCACGTATTCAGAGCACAGTAAGGAGATAAGCATGGCTAGAGCACAGCCAGCCAAGAAGGAGCTGGAGATGAGGTCTGAGGTCTGAAAGTAATGGGAGCCAGATGGTGAAGGACCCTCCAGGCATGACACAGTCAGTTTCCCTCCACCATACAGAACCTCGATTAACAATGTGGAGAGGGTCCTGGCTACTCCGGAGAGCTAAAGGAGGGTGGGGTTGTGTGGGGAGGTACAAGGATTAGAAAAAAGCAAAATCATAATATGCAACTGATGACTAATTATTGAGAAAATCCAAAAGAACTTGTGAATAAATTATAGAATAACAGAATATAGCAAAGTCACTAGATCAGTAATTATTAATCAACTGCATTTTTATACACCAGCAACAAATATTCAAAATATTTCACACAAAAAAAGGAAACCATTTAAACTAACAACAGAAATAAATTACCTGGAAATAAATGTACTCAAGATGTGCAAAACACTTTGAGAAAATTAAACTATATTAAAAAATATTAATGACAAAAAAATGATAAATATGTCAATTCTCCCATTAAATCTATAGTAAACTTAGTATAGTTTAGTAAATCTATAGTAAACTATAGAGTTAATGCAACTCCAACCAAAATCCCTAAGGGGATTTTTTTGCCCGTTCTTGGAAGTGGGACAAGCCATTTTAAAAACATTTATACGGAAAAGCAAAAAGCCAGGAAGAGCCAAGACATTTTGGGGAGAAGTAAGAAAAAGAATATCATGGTGGGATGACTTTCCTTACCAGATATCAAGATGTATTTTAGTGTTAGAATAATTAAGACTGGCATTGGGGATGTATTTTGGCTTTTCCCCTCCAGCTTCTTTGGGGTATAACTGACAAAGATGTATATATTTAAAGTGTACAATGTGATACCACTTGATATAATTTGATATATGTAGACATCATGAAATGATTACCATAATTAAGTTAATTAATGCATCCATCACCCCATATATTCACTTTTTTCTTTTGTGGTGAGAACACGAGATCAAACTTCAAGCACACAATACAGCATTATTAACCAGTCACCTTGCCGTATATTAGATCCTCAAAACTTATTCACTTTAGTTATATCTGAAAGTTTGTACCCTTTGACCAATCCCTCCCTATTTCCCCCACTCCCTACACTGGCAAGCACCATTCTACTTACTGTTTCTATGAGTTCAATTTTTTTTTTCTTAAGATTCTACATATAAGTGATACCATGCCGCATTTGTCTTTCCCTGTCTGGCTTCTTTCACTTAGCATAACGGCCTCCAGGTTCATCCATGTTGTCTCAAATGGCAGGATTTCCCTCTTTTTAATGAATAACATACCATACACACACACACATATCTTCTTTGATATGGATTGCACTGAATCTGTAGACTGCCTTGGGGACTATGGACATTTTAACAGTACTAATTCTTCCAATCCAAGGAAAAATTCTATCTTTCCATTTATTTGTGTCCTCTTCAATTTATTTCATCTTTCTCTTCAGTTTTCAGTATAGAGGTCTTTCACCTCCTTGGTTAAATTTATTCTTAAGTATTTTATAGTTTTTGATGCTATTGTAAATGCAACTGTTTTCTTAATTTCTCTTTCAGATTGTTGTTGCTAGTGTATAGAAATGTAACCGATTTTTCTATATTGATTTTGTATCCTGCAACTTTGCTGAATTTACTTATTAGTTCTAACAGTATTTTGGTGGAGTCTTTAGGATTTTCTCTATGTTAGATCATATCATCCACAAACAGAGACAATTTTACTTCTTCCTTTGCAATTTGGACACATTTTCTTTCTTTTACTTAAGTGATTGCTCTGGCTAAGAATAGAATGGAATGGAAATGGTGCGAGTGGGCATCCTTGCCTTGTTCCTGATCTTAGAGGAAAAGCTTTTAGGTTTTCACCGTTGAGTATGTTAGCTGTGGGGCCGTCATATATAGCCTTTATTATGTTGAGGTATATTCCTTCTATATCTAATTTTTTGAGGGTTTTTATCATGAAAGGATGTTGAATTTTGTCAAATGATTTTCTGCATCTCGAGAGGATATGATTTTTATCTTTCATTCTGTTAATGTGGTACATCACATTGACTGATTTGCATATACTAAACTATCCTCACATCTCGAGATAAATCCCACTTGATCATGGCGTATGACCCTTTCACTGTGCTGTTAAATTCAGCTTGCTGGTATTCTGTTGAAGAGTTTTGCATGTATTGGCCTATAATTTCCTTTTCTTGTAGTGTCCTTGCATGTTTTGGTATCAGGGTAATGCTGACCTCATAAAGTGAGTTTTGAAGTGTTCCATCCTCTTCAAGTTTTTGGAAGAATCTTATAAGAATTGGTATTAATTCTTCTTTAAATGTTTCGTGGAATTCATCCATGAAACCACCTGATCCTGGGATTTTCTTTGTTATTCCTGGGATTTTTGACTGATGATTCAATCTCCTTACTAGTTACAAGCCTATTCAGATGAATTTCTATTTCTTCATAATTCAGTCTTGGTAGGTTCTAAGTTTCTAGGAATTTATTTATTTCTCCTAGGTTACCCAGTTTGTTGGTATACAATTGTTTATAGTAGTCCCCTATCATCCTTTGCATTTTGCAGTATCATGTGTGATATCTCTGCTTTCCCTTCTGAATTTATATATTCAAGTCTTCTCTCTTTTAATCTTAGTCTAGCTAAAGGTCTGTCAATTCATCTTTTCAAAAAAATCATCTCTTAGTCGATATTTTCTATTGCTTTTCTAGCCTCTATTTC